CGATTTATTGTAATGCTTTTTTCCTCAGTTGGTCAGAACAAACGTGGCAGACTTGTTACTTACTTGTTCAGATAACAATATCTGGTGAAAATTCTAATTTGGGTCATATATTCCAAGATGTAGTCTAGAATCTGTGATTGCGAAGTACAGTAAATATCCACACCGGTGTGGTGACTGACTGCCACACATACTCTTCAGAACATTAGATTAATCCGCGCTGGAGCCGCGCCGCCGCACAACCCACGCCAGGAAGATAATTCCGCAAACAGCTGCAATTGCAGGTTTTCAAACAGAGATGGCGACAAAGAGGCAAAACTTACGGACTACAGCTTTAAATAAAAGTTTTTCTCAAAATTTCACAACTACTTCAACAATGAGGCGAATTTTACATATAATTTAAATTCTCTGTCCGCAGGTAGGCCTACTATACACATAGTTCCAACATGAAACAAATCATCATTTTGGTGGGAAAAGTACAGCAGAAGCCTTGGATTTGATTAATTATGTGATGTGTTGTGGTAGGTGGTTTGTTTGAATCTAAAATATTACATCTGTCTGATAAAATGAAAGAAATTGGTATGATAAGATAATTTTTTAAATATAGTTAAAATAGACGAATTGACCATCATGTAAGTTCCGGGTCCATAAGTTTACTATTTCCAACCTGTCAGTTATAGGCTATCATGTTAATTGTACTGTACTCGTGTAGATAATCAATTTATTTGTATCATTTTAATTAATACATTATTTCCTTTGAATAAATTAATATTTCCTTTCAAATAAATGACAACATAAGAATTGTCACTGCTTTTAAGTTACAGAGCTCATAATGTTGACCTCTATACACTATTATATTCAATTCAATTCAAGTTTATTTGTATAGCGCTTTTCACGATACAAATCGTTGCAAAGCAACTTTACAGCAAATTAAGCTTCTGCAATATTTAGTGGTAGCTTATCAGTGGTGACTGTCAGTTTATGTACATATGGCAGAAATATACGGAAAAATCAATTAAAGACGTAATCAAACAGACCGAACATTATCAGGAAGGCTATTCCAGAGTTTGGGAGCCAAATGCGAAAAAGTTCTACCTCCTTTAGTGGACTTTGCTATCCTAGGTACTACCTATGTATTATATACATTATGTACTGTTATGTATTATACTACTATGTATTATATACATAAATAGTACTCTAGACAAACATACAAACTACATTAAAAGCAGAACCTTAATAAATAATCAATACAATCGTTGAATTAGCTTTAAAATGAGGATTTACTTTAAATGCTTTCGGATGAAAACATAACTAAATACATTTAGAATAGGAACAAGTCTGCTGTTAAAATTATCTACAAGCACAAAGAATTCTCGTTACTATTTTTTACTATTTAAGATTCCTCTTTACTATCAGAGGTATTCTCTTTTAAATATTTATAAATGAGCCTATATTATTTTCCTATTCACTCTCTCAAAGACTGAGAGAAAATCTGTGTGGCAACTAAACCAACACTAGGTGTCACACTAGTTCAATGAACACGTTTTTTATACTGAACCCTGGCATTAGATGAAGGATGGAATTTGCTCAGATAAGGGTGAAAACCAAAGGTGTGCGGCTGTGTGTGGATTTCACTTCTGTAATTCTGCCACATTTTGTCAGATTTTGCTAAAAGATGTTAAATGCATTTTAACAAAATATACAGAGCAAGGTACTCAAAATAACGTTGCTTCAAAATTTTAAATTACACCAAATACACAAAATAATGTTCTTTTTAGCAGCATCATATGACCCCTTTAAGGCAATAAGGTCGAATGATGTTTAGAACACATTATATTGTATTATATAATATAATATTATATTATATTAAGATTTAATTTTGTATCTATAAAACAGTTGAACAATGAAATCATTTTTGCTCAGTGATTATACACTTTGGGCCTTTTATTATTATTATTATTATTATTTTTAATATACCCAACTGGAAAAGCACCCTTGAATAGGAACGTGGAATATATAGGCCGTGTTTGATGGGCAGGTGGTCTTCATATGTCAAGAAGATAATTTATCATGTATTATACCACCTTTTTCATTTTTTTTTATTTTGGATTGACAAAGTTGTTGAACTAGAAAAGCGTTTCTGCTTTTGTCTCAGGCTGTAAAAACCTCACAAGATATTAAGTTTGATTACATGCTAATCATGTAAACATGTTTATTATCTCTTGTTTTCTCTACACTCAACAGGAAATTTGATCTACACTATTTGAAGAGTCACAGTCACACTATCATTCAAAACTTTGGGGTCTGTATAAATACAGTAAAAACAGTAATATTATGAAATATTATTATACATTTTTTCTATTTTAATACATTTTAAAATGTAATTTATTTCTGTGATGGCAAAGCTGAATTTTCAGCAGCCATAAGTCCAGTCTTCAGTGTTACATGATCTTTCAGAAATCTTTTTAATATTCTGATTTGGTGTTTAAGAAAATGTTTTTATTATGATCAGTGTTGAAAACAGTTGTCCTGCTTAATATTTTTTAGTGAAAATTGTGATTTACTTCTCAGGATTCTTGTTTTGAATGTGTTTAAGTCATTTTTGCCATTTTTTAAAATGTCTTAGCAGTTGTGTACTATGAAGAGGAAAAGGCTTGAGTAAAGACATGAGATGGAAGTTGCAGAACACAAGTGAGTTATTTACACATTTATTTATTATCCTGCATATGCTAGTAGACTTAACATAGACAATGTGGTTTATTTTACAGAAATGTTGACATACATGTACTATGTCAAAGTGTTCTGTGATCACATAATTGTACAGATTACGACATGCATTCAAAGATGCTGATATGTGCAGAAACGTTCTGCAGCTTAAAGGTGTCTAAGGACATTAAGATACAAGATAACATAATTTAAACAAACAAAAACAGAAAAGAGGCAGAAGACATGAGAGGAAGAAATACAATGTAGCAAGGATGCATGGGAGAACAGGCTATGACAAATGGATGACACATTCATATTTAACCTCGCTTTCAAACAAAAATATAAAACCTCACGCTTGCCATGACGATATATATCACAAATGATCGTGTGATGAGAAACATGCATGTTCACAGTCCACCAGATGTTAGAGTTAATTTTACCATTTAAAAATGAGCAAAGTCACACAGACACAAATCCCTTTGCATCTACTGCTCCCATAAAGGCTGATTGGAGATGCTTCTGTAGTCATATGATGACATGCTACAGATAAAAAAAGCAGTTGATTGCCTGGTGTGAGTGATGAAGGAAACAAAAGAGTTTAACAGTACCGACTTTGAGCCCCACTCATTAGCCTTTATTTAACAGGTGCTAAATGGTGAGAATCTTTTATTTGTGCAATATTTGAAACTGTCATTTTGAAATGCCTCAATGCACGAGTCTGCCAATGACTGATAAAAAAAACAATATTTGGGATACCAGTTATAAATAACTTTTATCTTATGAGCTGTTTAAATGGTCAGGGCTCTGAAATTTTATTTTTGAGCATATGCAAGCACTTATAAGACATGAGACATTTCATATGAGCTTTTCGTTTTGCTTGTGTTTATGGCATCACTTAAAGGCATAGTTCACTCAAAGATGGAAAGTCTGTCATCATTTACTCACCCCCATATTTTATTTTTATGTTTATATATTTTGAATAATGTTAGTGCGGCCCAAAACAACATTGAACTCCATTGACTTTCATGGTATGGACAAAATATCAACTATGTTCACAGAAGAAAGTAAGTCATACAGGTATGGAGGTGCATAAATGATGCACATTTTTTGGTGAAGTATTCCTTTTAAACAGTTGTTGCTGCGTATGCAGTATTGAGGAAATTGTAGCAGCTTTAACATGCTGAAAAAATATTTCACTCTAAAAACAAATTCAATTCATTTACTATAACAGAGGTGCCTACAGGGAGTACTAGCCATGCACAAAATTGGTTACAAAACTTCATTCATTGATGGCTTGAACCCTCAATATTTATATACAGTATCGCCATATAATATTTGGACACTTAAATTTGATACAAAATATCACACTAAGTAGCATTTGCAAGATGCTTTTTTTTCAAAACTAACTGTACTTTTCTTTATTTTAGTAATTGAGTAATTTTTGAATACTTTTTCTACCAGTTTACACTGTACATTGATATTTGACAACCAGAAAGTGTCCAAAAACATCTGTCCTAATCTGAAACTTTTTTGTAAAATGTTTTGCTTTAAAAGTGTGCTTGTGCTATATATCTTTAAAATACATTCATTCAACTTAATTTGATATTTTGCAAAAAATTTCACACATTTTGTCCAAATATTTTTGGGGGCCACTGTATATGAGGCATATAACGCACAGAAGGGAAGCTGACCATCCTGTGGGAATACATGAGATGGGCCATTATTCAACAGTCTGTCAAAACAGAAACAGGCATGTGACGACATTCTTTTAAAAACAACGACAACAAAAGAAACAAGATGATGCATTCTTTAAATGAAGAAAACATAGACATCCACCACAGCAGAAGATTAGTGTTGTAGAAAACCTGAGAACTTAATATTACGCATATCTATTACTTAAAGACCTGATTTCCCCCCCCCTATAAAAAGTATAATTTTCTGTACAGTGCTATATGAACAAAGCCAGCAAGATGCTTTTTTTTCTAAACTAACTGTACTTTTCTTTATTTTAGTAATTGAGTAATTTTTGAATACTTTTCCAGCCAGTTTACACTGTACATTGATATTTGACAACCAGAAAGTGTCCAAAAACATCTGTCCTAATCTGAAACTTTTTTGTAAAATGTTTTGCTTTAAAAGTGTGCTTGTGCTATATATCTTTAAAATACATTCAACTTAATTTGATATTTTGCAAAAAATATCACACATTTTGTCCAAATATTTTTGGGGGCCACTGTATATGAGGCATATAATGCACAGAAGGGAAGCTGACCATCCTGTGGGAATACATGATATGGGCCATTATTCAACAGTCTGTCAAAACAGAAACAGGCATGTGACGACATTCTTTTAAAAACAACGACAACAAAAGAAACAAGATGATGCATTCTTTAAATGAAGAAAACATAGACATCCACCACAGCAGAAGATTAGTGTTGTAGAAAACCTGAGAACTTAATATTACGCATATCTATTACTTAAAGACCTGATTTCCCCCCCCCTATAAAAAGTATAATTTTCTGTACAGTGCTATATGAACAAAGCCAACTGATTTATAGCCTTCTCATAAATGTTTATGAACAGGCACGTGTCATTTCAACCACCATATGGCAGTAAATTGTGGTCGTGCAGAATTTTGGTTTAGAAAAAATAGAATCACTGTCAGCATTAATTAACAAAACATAAAATACCTTTTATGAGCCCATTAAATCATTTCAAGAGTTTGTTTTTCATATTTCAAATGAACCTGTTTGTAGAAATTTATAAAAGACTCTCCTGGTCTGATTTGTCAGAAGAATCTTATTTGAAGAGTATAACCGGAGTGATTCTGACAGCCACAAAGTATTTTTAAAACATCAAATTTTTTTTTTTGAGTGGTAACACTGATATTTCAAATATTAAAGATATATAATCTGAAAAATACAATTGAAGTCTCTGCCTATACACTTACAAATCCATTAGACTGTAAATAAAGTGCCACAATTCTTGGCCTGCATAGATTGCAGTATGCTGTATTGCACTTTCCACCATAGTGTAACTGCGAGAGCCAGCTGAAGTCTTGAGTTCCTCTTCCTCGTCTTTTTCACAACCCTCAATCAGCCCATTCAGACTGTGTAATTTCTCCAAACACAATGTACATTTTGAACAATCAGCCAACCGCCATGCCAAAGCAAGTAATATACATATATATTTCCAGCAATCTTGGAATAAAGGCAACATAAAATGGATATTCTCTCATGTGACAAGAAAAACATGTCAGCCAGATGATAATACATAACTCAAAAGAGAACAAAATATTCTTGAATACTCAGTAAAACCAGTCAAATGTGAGTTTGTTAAGAAATGACTCAAAGGTCAGGCATCTGATTGATACAGATATGGTGAAATATGAATAATAATGAAACAACTCATGTGAAAAATTAAAACTGTAGTGGCATTTACACTATTGTACTCTTGTCAAATGAAAAAAAAAAAAGAGTAAGTTTGATGTGTGTGTGTGTGTGTGTGTGTGAATGAAAACGTAGTTTGTGTTTTGGTCCTTTTGACAATAGCATTACTAAGAGGACTGGGTTTTTGAGTTTTAACAGGGAAATATGTGAGCAACATTTGTAGGTTTTAATGACCAGAACCACTGATTTGATGGTTAAATTGCTCTAACACCACTATGTAAACTTATTTATTTATATTTTTACATTTACTGTTTGCTGTGCTATTGAATATTTGAGTATGTAAAGATAAGTTAAGACATACATACCTGCTGTACCCATGTGTTTGCATGATATACTGTATGTTTAAACCTAAAACCTTATTTTTTTGAAAGTTGACATCTTAATTTTATCCAGGCATAGCTATCGCGATGCATAACATTCAATATACAATTTACAGCTATTGCATATTGTCTGATTGTTATTCTCGTTTGGCAACTACAGGTGTATATGCATCTCTGATATTAAGGAAAAAAGTGGTGCAATTCATCTGGTCATTAATTTGAGATTTTGATGCTGCTAATTTGAGTACCAAACCAAATATTAAAAATAATAATAATAATAAAACTAAATAAAACCCCAAAATAAATATGTGACACTATAGAGTCATTCCTAGATCTTAACACAAACACATCTGCATTAGGTACACATTGCATTTCTACAGAAAGTCATGATATGTTTCAATACGTCGCTACTTTGCAGCTCACTTTTCACAGTCTTTGATGAAAATTCCCTCTTTAAAACAGGAAAAAGGCTAACATAAACCCTTTTGACATCTACTATGCCCTCTGTGGCTATGTGCATTGTCATTGCTGTAGTCTCTATATTTACCGTGGAATGCTCTCAGCAAACTAAGCACCGTAAAACAGCTTTGTTAATATGCATGCTCTTGTAGGTTCTGACTGTCTCTATAAAATAATAAAACAAGTGAAAAGGTAAAATGTACAGGTAGGTCAACAATGTCCTCATTGTTGGTAAATACATTCTAAACAAGCCTCTCGTTTGCACCCGCATCCTCCAGGTTTCGTCTGCAAGAAACTGCAGTCTCATTTGCGTTATTGACAATGACACAATTACAAGGGACTTTTCATGCCATGCAAAATTATCTTTCAGACCATATCTGCGTGCCCTTTTCTCCACCAGTGCACTCCACTCTGTATGAATGTCAAGTCACAGTCACATACCGGTTTCGCAAGATGGCGAGTGATTGCCATCCCCTGGCATTAGATGGATCTCTGGCGTAAACATGTGGTTCTCTACCTTGTGTTCACTTTGGTTAGAGTCTGGATTTTCCTCTCCATTACCACCGACTACCACTTGAGTGCAGTTCTGTGCTGCTAGTTTGGGTGAGGAGATGGCTGCGGAAGCCACTTCCATTTGGTTCTGTTCCTCATGGTAATCCTGTTCCTCCAGGTTCCCCAGAAGCAGCGCCGTCTCCCCGGGATGGTATCCACCAGCTAGCATCTTTGGAGAAATAACCAAGCCTTTCACTGGGATACTACCCAGCATTTCTGAATCCGAACAGAGCGGAGAGCACTCTCCCTCCGGGGAGTCATCTTCCAGAAGACTGTTGTTGATATCCTGTGGAGAAGATGTGTTGGGCGGTGGCATAGATTGCAGTATGCTGTATTGCACTTTCCACCATAGCGTAACCGCCAGAGCCAGCTGAAGTCTTGAGTTCCTCCTCCTCCTCCTCGTCTTTTTCACAATCCTCGTTCAGCCCATTCAGATTGTGTGATTTTTCCAAACACAATGTACATTTTGAACAATCAGCCAACCGCCATGCCAAAGCAAGTAATATACATATATATTTCCAGCAATCTTGGAATAAAGGCAACATAAAATGGATATTCTCTCATGTGACAAGAAAAACATGTCAGCCAGATGATAATACATAACTCAAAAGAGAACAAAATATTCTTGAATACTCAGTAAAACCAGTCAAATGTGAGTTTGTTAAGAAATGACTCAAAGGTCAGGCATCTGATTGATACAGATATGGTGAAATATGAATAATAATGAAACAACTCATGTGAAAAATTAAAACTGTAGTGGCATTTACACTATTGTACTCTTGTCAAATGAAAAAAAAAAAAGAGTAAGTTTGATGTGTGTGTGTGTGTGTGTGTGTGAATGAAAACGTAGTTTGTGTTTTGGTCCTTTTGACAATAGCATTACTAAGAGGACTGGGTTTTTGAGTTTTAACAGGGAAATATGTGAGCAACATTTGTAAGTTTTAATGACCAGAACCACTGATTTGATGGTTAAATTGCTCTAACACCACTATGTAAACTTATTTATTTATATTTTTACATTTACTGTTTGCTGTGCTATTGAATATTTGAGTATGTAAAGATAAGTTAAGACATACATACCTGCTGTACCCATGTGTTTGCATGATATACTGTATGTTTAAACCTAAAACCTTATTTTTTTGAAAGTTGACATCTTAATTTTATCCAGGCATAGCTATCGCGATGCATAACATTCAATATACAATTTACAGCTATTGCATATTGTCTGATTGTTATTCTCGTTTGGCAACTACAGGTGTATATGCATCTCTGATATTAAGGAAAAAAGTGGTGCAATTCATCTGGTCATTAATTTGAGATTTTGATGCTGCTAATTTGAGTACCAAACCAAATATTAAAAATAATAATAATAATAAAACTAAATAAAACCCCAAAATAAATATGTGACACTATAGAGTCATTCCTAGATCTTAACACAAACACATCTGCATTAGGTACACATTGCATTTCTACAGAAAGTCATGATATGTTTCAATACGTCGCTACTTTGCAGCTCACTTTTCACAGTCTTTGATGAAAATTCCCTCTTTAAAACAGGAAAAAGGCTAACATAAACCCTTTTGACATCTACTATGCCCTCTGTGGCTATGTGCATTGTCATTGCTGTAGTCTCTATATTTACCGTGGAATGCTCTCAGCAAACTAAGCACCGTAAAACAGCTTTGTTAATATGCATGCTCTTGTAGGTTCTGACTGTCTCTATAAAATAATAAAACAAGTGAAAAGGTAAAATGTACAGGTAGGTCAACAATGTCCTCATTGTTGGTAAATACATTCTAAACAAGCCTCTCGTTTGCACCCGCATCCTCCAGGTTTCGTCTGCAAGAAACTGCAGTCTCATTTGCGTTATTGACAATGACACAATTACAAGGGACTTTTCATGCCATGCAAAATTATCTTTCAGACCATATCTGCGTGCCCTTTTCTCCACCAGTGCACTCCACTCTGTATGAATGTCAAGTCACAGTCACATACCGGTTTCGCAAGATGGCGAGTGATTGCCATCCCCTGGCATTAGATGGATCTCTGGCGTAAACATGTGGTTCTCTACCTTGTGTTCACTTTGGTTTGAGTCTGGCTTTTCCTCCCCATTACCACCGACTACCACTTGAGTGCAGTTCTGTGCTGCTAGTTTGGGTGAGGAGATGGCTGCGGAAGCCACTTCCATTTGGTTCTGTTCCTCATGGTAATCCTGTTCCTCCAGGTTCCCCAGAAGCAGTGCCGTCTCCCCAGGATGGTATCCACCGGCTAGCATCTTCGGAGAAAGAACCAAGCCTTTCACTGGGATACTACCCAGCATTTCTGAATCCGAACAGAGCGGAGAGCGCTCTCCCTCCGGGGAGTCATCTTCCAGAAGACTGTTGTTGATATCCTGTGGAGAAGATGTGTTGGGCGGTGTCAGAGGAGCGTCCTCTGGCGTTTCTATGAAGTTGACTTTGAGGCCCTTTGTCTTCATTGGATTTGTTCCTCGAATGGAGCTTCTGATGTTTTCTATGACCTCGTTGAAGTTCTCACCATCCGGTCGCTTGTCAATGTCTTGGTTTAGAGTCTCAGAGTTCTCCTCTGGACTCATGTCAGAGGGTGTCAACTGGCCGAGGTGAAGGTGCGGAGGTACTTTCAGTTGCCTTTGCTGAACCTGCTCTGCAGTATAAGAAGGGGTGGATGCCTTCTCACCCTGTCCAAATTCAGCGGTGCAGCTTGCAAAGCTGTCAACGCTCGATATGCTCCTGACATCGGTGACTGCTCTTTCCTTGGGTTGCCGTTCGGTGGCCGTCGGGACTTCCTTCATCTCCAACTCTACCTTGTGGTTTGACACAGCTGCAGGTTGTGTGCTGTTGGTTGTGTTGAGATCCGAGAAGGATTGTGTCCTTGTCATCTGGTTATACATTTCCTCCAGTTTCTGAGCGTTCAGATGCTGTGGACTTGGCGTTCTGACATATTCCCGTGAGCCGTTTGGGCCACGCTCAGGAAACTTCTTGTCAAAGGATCTGAGGCTGGTATCCGAGGATGTGCGCTGTGGAACACCCCACCGGCTCGGAGAAAGGTGGTTGTCCATTGGCTGTTTATCCTCACTTTTGTCCACTGCCACATCCATTAGCTCCATACTTCGTGCGAAGGCATCTTTCAGGTTCATTGAGACAATGCTGCCGTTTCTCTTGGCTCGTTCTAAGGCCTCTCTTCTCTTGATGGCTTTTTCCTGTCGTTTCTGCTCCTTGTAGAACTCGGAGAAGTTATTCACAATAATAGGGATGGGTAAGGCAATGACCAGCACACCAGCAATGCAGCAAAGTCCTCCGACTATTTTGCCAAGCAGAGTCTGTGGGTAAATATCTCCATAGCCTACTGTAGTCATGGTGATTGTAGCCCACCAAAACGAAGCTGGGATGCTGGTAAATTTGGTTGCATCCTCATCCTTCTCTGCAAAGAAGACCAAACTTGAGAATATCATGATTCCCATTTTTAAAGACCTGGCAAATTCTTTGTTCTCTCAATGATTGTTTTTTTCTATTCTTTATTGTCTGGCAATCCAGTGAAAGAAGGATTTGGTGATACGTATCTTGTCACATGGAGACGCCACCTGATGTCCTGCATTAATGCTCTTTATCTAGTATTCATTTGTAATCTCCTGCATCTTCAGATGTTTTATGACATTGTGACAATGTACAAACAAAAACACTAAGAGCTCAGCTACAAAACAAGCAGCAAATTCAAATGATGTCATATATGGTTAAACATCTCTAGAATTTCTGGCTCCTTTTGCATAATTCAAAATGGTAAATCAGGTACTTAAGTGTCTCGTATATCTCATTTATCTTCCTTTACAAATATTGATTCATGGTCAATGTAAAACCGCATGCTAATGTTCCATTTCCTGTGGTGTACCATGACTCTGTTACATTTATAAGTTTGTGCCGTGTATAGCTGTGAAACTGCAGGAGACCGTTTTATGTACAAGTAACATTTACTTGCTTTGCTACTGTATTTGATTAAAAAAAACCCATAATATTAAATAAAAATGTTCAGAAATTTATTTTTTAAAATTAATAATATTTATAAAAGATGTTTAAAAAACATTTACTAATAATTCTAATAATGAAATTTGCTGCTGAATATTTATTTCATTTAATACACTTAGCAATATTGTTAGATTTTTTACATTTGTTACATATCTTTCCAACTCTTCTAACCCAAAACAATATGTCTGATTAATCTCTAGAGGTCAAAATAGCAGCCGATAAAAGGCGACTATTATTCTGATGGTGATCGAGAGAAGGTCTCCAGGAATATTAGGGCTTATGAATCAAATCTTCCATGGCAGACCTAAAGCCTTGTATAAATGAAAGTAAGATTGATATTTATTAGGAGAGACATCTCTCAATCATCTCTAGCACAGTTCAGGTGATTCTAAACGGTGCATAATTTTCTCTGACCTTGACATGTTAGAGGAGTAAACACTCTCCTTTCTGTTGTAGAATTCTATCAGGATTGCACTGAAAATGTGGCCGTGTTGCGAATGTAATCAACAGCAAGTTTTCATTTAGGTATTTCAACTTATGAGTGATTTTAGTAAGATGGTGTGTAGTAACGTGTAGGAACTAGGGCTGGTCCGAATACCATTTTTTTTTTTAGCTTCTAAGCTTCAGTAGTAATCAACACCGAATATTCGAAGCTTCGGAGGGAGGGGGCTGAACATATTCTTCTCTCTAATAACTGCAGGAATCTCTGTCTGTCTGTTTGCATTTTTATTATGTTGAGAACCGTTAATCCAATCGACTTCACGCGTGGCGGGTGGGTTGCTGCGGACCCAAGAGAGTGCAGTGTCGCATTTTGGTGCAATATGGACACGCGACACGCTCAGAATGAATAAACTTTTAATAAACTACAGAACAGCGCGAGCCGGAAGCGGCGCACCTCACGCGGGCAGGGCTTATATGCTCCGAGAACGGACACTGCACTAGTGAACATACAAGTCTGTTAAGAGCAATACTTTTAATAGACAAATTATTATTAGGCTGGGCTACTGTAGGCCTACGTTTTTTTTATGACTGCCGTATTTGCAAGTATTTTCCAAGCAAATTAAGTGCATGTTTTTATCATGTGTAAAATTACTGATTAACATGGCGGATAAAAGCAGATCGTTTTTTACACCAACAATATACTATAGGCGACTACTTACAGAACTTTTACAGATTTTTCAAACTTGATGTGCTGTTGTGGTAGACCAGTTTCAAATCGCATATTTGGCACACTGCCTTTGTCTTGTCCTCACTCAATTTAAAGTGCTCCCACACAGCT